TTGTAATATACATCATATTATATCTCATATCTTTATTTCATATCTTCATCTTATATATTCTATATTGTAGATCTTATATCATATATTTATCATATCATACTGTATATTATATTATATATTACCTTATATCTGTATCTTATATCTTCATCTTGTATCTATATCTTATATATCTTATACTGTATATCTTATATCACATATCATACCTTTTATTATTGTATTTTTATATCTTCATCTTATTGTATGATATATCATACTGTACATCTTATATTGTATATCATATTATATTGTATCATACATTATACCTTATGTTATATCTTTACCTTATATCTTCAACTTATATGTATTGTATATCTTATATCATACATCATATATTACACCTTACATCTTATCTATCTTTATCTTCATCTTATTATGTATCTTATACTGCATGTCTTATACTGTATATCATATTCTATATTATATGACACTTTATATTATTTTATACCTTTGTCTTGCATCTTTATATCTTATGCATCTTATGCTGCATATCTTCTATCTCTTACACCATATTATATCAGGAGATCCTATATAAGGTCATTATTATGATCAACATCATTATTATCATTATTACTCATTAAACATGAAACTCGAGTCAACTGAACATTTAAAAATGTATCACCAATCTTATTAACTAGCACTGATGATTGATACGGGTTGCTTCCAGCATCCTAGGTATTGACTAAGTATTTTCTTAAAAATTATTATTATTATTATTATTATTATTATTATTATTATTATTATTATTATTATTATTAAGTGCACCAACATGCCTACCATCCCTGCCTTAGTGTTCCCTTTTATTCGTATCCATTTCATGTATTAATAAAGAATAGAATAGAATAGAATAGAATAGAATAGAATAGAATAGAATAGAATATATGGAAGAGAAGAGAAGAGAAGAGAAGAGAAGAGAAGAGAAGAGAAAATATGGAATAGGATAGGATAGGATAGGATAGAATAGAATAGAATAGAATAGAATAGAATAGAATAGGATAGGATAGAATAGAATAGAATAGAATAGAATAGAAATTCTTTATTGACCAAGTCTGATTGGACACATTAGGAATTTGTCTTGGTGCATAATCATGCTTATACTTATATATATTATCAAATGCATGCTTGACAAATAAATAAATAAATAAATAAAAATAAAATGAAATGAAATAAAAATTATCATTATTATTTCCAGCCACTGCCACCCAGGGATTTCTAACGCTTTCAGCCTTAGCTCAGGATCTCAAACAGAGGAAAGCCAGGATGGATCAGAAAGGCTGCTACCACCATCACCCCCCTCAATCCCCGGGAGGGTCTTTCTTTACCCCCATCGCGGGGGAGCGATCCTTCGGCTCTTCTCCCTTTGCAATCTTGACGAGCGCCGGCTCGCCAAGAAAAGGAGCTGCGCGGCGGGTGCAAAAGACGCGCAAAGCCGGAGATGCGCGGCATCCTCGCCTCCCCACCCCCCCAGCCGGCTTCCCGGAGCCTACCTCGCAGGACCCCCGCGTAGGCAGCGATGAGCGTCTTCATGGCTCCGTCAGCGCCCATCCATGCCCGGGCGGGGAGGGAGGGAGGGACGCGGGGCTGCCGGGGCGAGGGTCCGGCGGCTCAGGCAGCCCAGCGCCCGCCGCGAAGCCCTTTATAGCACCTGCCCGGGGAGGAGCCGGCGCGGAGGCGGCGGAGGAGGAGGAGGTGGCGGAGGGGCGGGCCGAGCCGTGGCCGTTGCGCGGCGCCCGGGGATTGTGATGCTGCGCGACCTCCGGCGGACCCCGGCCCTGGCCAGGGTTCCCCCGCCTCCCCCCGCCTCTGACTGACGGGTTGGAGACGGGCGCTCGGACGAGGAGACGGCCCAGGGGTAGCCAGAATAAGGGGGATACCCAGGAAGTGGGGGACACATTTGAGGGACACCCAGGCCCAGGGGGAGCCAGAATAAGGGGGATACCCTGGAAGTGGGGGACACATTTGAGGGACACCCAGGCCCAGGGGGAGCCAGAATAAGGGGGATACCCTGGAAGTGGGGGACACATTGGAGGGACACCCAGAAGAGAGGGAGACCCAGGCCCAGGGGGAGCCAGAATAAGGGGGATACCCAGGAAGTGGGGGACACATTGGAGGGACACCCAGAAGAGAGGGAGACCCAGGCCCAGGGGGAGCCAGAATAAGGAGGATACCCAGGAAGTGGGGGACACATTGGAGGGACACCCAGAAGAGAAGGGACAGCCAGAAAATGGGGGACAACCAGGACCAAGGACATCCTGGGGGGGTGTCACTCAGGAAGAGACGGACACCCAGGGCAACCCTGGGATCATCAAGCTGTGTGCGGATGGCTCGGTTCCCACGGGTTGCCAAAGCCAGGCAGTTGTGATGAATCCACCTGGGTCAAAGGGAAGTTCTGAGCCGATCCAGAAGAACCTCAAAAGGTGCTGAGGCTGGACCCAGACTGAGGGCTGGCAAGGCCAACATCCTGGCTCAGGTGGGAGGGGAGGCACGGGGCCTTTGGAAAGAGAGCTGGTTAGCAGCTTCCCACAAGATCGTTAGACATTGCATTGTCCAACTATGTAACGTCATTCGTGTCACAGAGTGTGGGGTTTGTTCCCTGTATATATACGGATATTTATATGTCTTGTCTATAAACAGAGAGCAAACCCCACTCCCTTCTAGCACTGACGATGTTCAGAGAACACCAAGAACACCACAGTCGTCCTCCTCCTCTTCTTCCTCTTCCTCTTCTTCTCTTCCTCCTCCTCTTCTCCTCCTCCTTCTCCTCCTTCCTCCTCCTCCTCCAACCAACCCTCACTCGCTACTAGCATTGATGATGTTCCCTACCTGGGTAATGAAACGTCTGCCCAAAAGAAACTCAGTTCAGGGTGCACCAAGGACCCTCCCCAGTTGTCGTCCTCCTCCTCCTCTCCCTCTCTTGAAGCCCCACTCCTCACTAGCACCTATGATGTTACCTAGTTTGATAAGGAAAACGCCTGCAAGAAAACATGGCTCCCCAAACTACAATTTAGAGGGGATCACAAATTAGGCGCTTGCTACTTTATTTTATTTTTTGAGAAAAGTCAGGGCAAGTTGTCCTTTGCCCTCCATCATTTGGAAACATGACCATAGTTTATTTTATATATTTTTTTAAGAAAAAGGGGGGGGAAGGAACGAAAGAGCTTTTGGCAAGGTATCTGGCACAAACCAGGATGATGATGAAAAAATGATGAAATATAATGTCATGTCACGAAATCTAGAATTTGCAACATTGGATCTAAGGACATAAGTGACAGGTTGCGTGTTTGATATCCTGAGGCATGGAAGGGGGATACACACACACAAACACACAAACACACACACACACACATGCACAGGTAAAATTTGTGGCTCTTGGTAATGCAAAATGCACCGGGGGTGGGGGGGGATATTTGGAAATGGGAAGAGAGAGAAAGCAGGAGGGAAAGAAAACGGAATTAAAAATGATAAAATTCGACAAAAATTAAGAGCCACTTCGGTGTAGTAGTTAAGATACTCAGATAGATTAACTTTATTGTCACTTTGAACGTACACTAATTCAGTGGTCCGCAAGAAAGTTTTGGTGGTCCGCAGAGAAATGTCCCCTCCAAATCAATCCAGGCAGCGCGGGAACACAAGGCTTGGGTTCCTTGCATTACAAACAACACGAGATAGTGAGGAGAGGGGGGGAAAGAGTGGAGGGGGAGAACTTGCCCCACTCAGCCCACACACCTTGCCTGGCCACCCAGCTGCTTCTTTCCGCTTCTTCTGCTTTTGGCTGCACACAAGGAAAGCAGCAAAAGTCTTTCTTCCCCTAAACTCCGCCAGAAATGAGTCTTTGGGACCCTGCAAGGCCTCCTGCTCCAAGAGGCTGCGACGGTGCGACAAATCTCACAAAGACTCATTTCTGGCAGAGTTTGGGGGAGAGAAAGAAAGACTTCTGCTGCTTCTGCTGCTTTCCTTGCATGAAGCCAAAAGTCTCTCTCTCTCTGTCCCTCTGAGAACGGAGCTGGAGACGGTATCCTGCGATCCCAAATAAAGAATGATTGATTGCAAGGAAAACGGGGTGTGGCATTTTCCTGCAGATTTTGTGGGGGATTTTCCCAGGATCTCTGGTCCACGGGATTGAAAATTATGAGTTTGGTGGTCCCAGAGGTCCAAAAGGGTGGTGAGCGTTGCATTAATTGGCATGCACTGAAATGAAATTTCAATTCATACAGCTCTCAATGGGCCGCCACCTCCAATATACACTGTTTCTGAAGTTTGGAAACCATTTTGAAGGTTTTTTTTGGGTTTGAGTGCGTGGCTGGCAAAGAGCCTTCAGGGCAAGGTACCATGTCTATTTTCCACCTCTTTTCGTTGTGGGGCAATTGTGGCTACTTCCCAGTTGGCTTGTGTTGTGGGTCCCTCCAGGATCCCTGCCACTGAGACTTCGGGTAAAAGAGCGATTTTAAAACGGGTTACGTGCAGTATGTCATCATGCTGGGTGGGTGCTGGGAGTGAAATCAGCTTAGGTGGCCGGCTGGACAGGAGGGGGCCAGGTCTACGACACCCTGCAAGGGCCAAAGACTGAAAGGTCAGCTCAGGATAGGAAGAGAGGATAGGTCTTTGCTGCAAGGAACTTAACATTCACATGGCAGGAATGATTTAGGGAAGGGAAGGAAGAAGGGAAAGGGAAAGAAGAGGGAAGGAAAGGAAGAAGAGAAGGGAAAAGGGAAAGGAAGGGAAGGGGAAGAGGGAAGGAAGAAGGGAAAGAAGGAAAGGAAGAAGGGAAGGAGAAGGAAAAGAAGGGAAGGGAAGGGAAGGAAGAAGGGAAAGGAAAAGAAGAGGGAAGGAAAGGAAGAAGAGAAGGGAAAAGGGAAAGGAAGGGAAGGAGAAGAGGGAAGGGAAGGAAGAAGGGAAAGAAGGAAAGGAAGAAGGGAAGGGGAAGGAAAAGAAGAGGGGAAGGGAAGGAAGAAGGGAAAGGAAAAGAAGAGGGAAGGAAAGGAAGAAGAGAAGGGAAAAGGGAAAGGAAGGGAAGGGGAAGAGGGAAGGGAAGGAAGAAGGGAAAGAAGGAAAGGAAGAAGGGAAGGGGAAGGAAAAGAAGAGGGGAAGGGAAGGAAGAAGGAAAAGGAAAAGAAGAGGGACGGAAAGAAAGAAGGGAGGGGGAAAGGGACAGGAAAGGAAGGGAAGGGAAGGAAGAAGGGAAAGAAGGAAAGGAAGAAGGGAAGGGGAAGGGAAGGAAGAACGGAAAGGAAAGAAGGAATGAAGGGAAAGGAAAAGAAGAAGGGAATCCTACCTTACGATGAACGGTTGCAGGAACTGGGCCTGGCTAGTCTAGGGAAGAGAAGGACCAGGGGAGACAGGAGAGCAGTCTTCCAATATTTGAGGGGCTGCCCCAGAGAAGAGGGGGTCAAGCTATTTTCCAAAGCACCCGAAGGCCAGACAAGGAATCATGGATAGAAACTGATCAAGGAGAGATTGAACCTGGAAATAAGGAGAAACTTTCTGACAGGGAGAACAATCAACCGATGGAACAGAAGTTGCCTTCGGAAGTAGTGGGAGTTTCATCACTGGGGCATTAAAGAAGAGACTGGACTGCCATCTGTCAGAAATGGTGTAGGGTCTCCCGCTTGGGCGGGGGTTGAACTAGATGACCTGCAAGGTCCCTTCCAACTCTGTTCGTCTGTAAGTCACGGGAGCTCACTCCGCTACACGGCGCTAGGGATTCAAACCACCAAACCTCCGACCTTTCTCCAGAGACCCAAGTCTTAGAAGTTGACAAGTTTGGAGACCTCCACTCTAAAACGATTGCACAGACAGCAGTGTAGGACGAAGGCCATAGCAAAACCACAACCAGAGGTCAACCAGAAATGAGCTTTTCCTAATCCACCTCTTGATTCAGAAGATGTTCCCCCAGGAGATATTATTGCCCAAAAAAAAATTGCTTCAGCCAAGGGCCCTGGAGATCCGATGTCCCGCGTTTGCAAAACGCCCAAATCCAGCAGGAGAAAAATGGGAGGGGGATTTGGTTTCACAAAAACGGGGTCAAGGAAAAAGACACCAGACAGTGATAATTTTCATGTCCTGCGGGACTCAGTTCCAGGCTGGATTTCCATCTATGACCTAGAGATGAAATCTGCAGTTATTTTTACGAATATCTGCGCAAATTGGAAGCATCTGAATTGCTACCGATTGCTAAAAGCTTACGAAAGTTTCGAAAGAGCAACTATGTCTAATTTTGGAAATGGGATGAATTTGCACCCGGATATCAGGCCTTCATAAAAAATAATCTTTGGAGCGTAAGGAAGAACAGAAATACATTTCGACGTTACATTTGAAAAATGTATACAGGTGATCCTCGACTTACGACTGCATCCAGGGCTGGAATTTGGGCTGGATTGAGTCTGGCCAGATTTTTAAATTTTTGCAGTGGGTGTTTAAATTTGAGGGGCTGCCCCAGAGAGGAAGGAGTTAAGCTATTTTCCAAAGCACCTGAAGGCCAGACAAGGAATAATGGATGGAAACTGAACAAGGAGAGATTTAACCTGGAA